AATGCAAAAAGCAATCAACGAATATGAAGTCATAATGTAACTCGGGAAGATAATCTATTCGTTCGATAAAATACATCGAACGAATATAGGCCTACATAAGATATGAGTCATATCTCTTGTTACTCTCTTTCCCTGCGCGCAAAACATACATGGCCTACAGGGCGGAAAGCGCTTTTACATCGCAATAAAGTGAATAAATATAATGAATTTAATTAGCATAAAACACTGGCTTGCATTAAATTCAAGACCAGGGAAATCAAGTAATAGCTACCGGTCTATAGCCTACCCTAGTCTTCTGAAAATGCGCGCGAGCAATACTGAAATGCTTGTTTCGGTAGAAAATATCAATATTGTGAAATTCTGGAAAAAGCTGACATCACGCGAAACATGTTAATTAGTTATAATAGCGGTAGAAAAATCTAAATAAAACATTCAAGGAGTATTTGGACTGCATGCAGTTACTGGCATCATGTGTGCGCCACTAAAGTATCCACATACCTTGCGATCCTTCATCTTAGACGCCATCATTGATAAAAAAAAAACTAGGGAAAAAATGATAGAATTGTGAAACTGTATTGTAGCTAGACTAGTAGGTTCTCCTGTTTCCAGACGCTTCAGACTGAGATGAGCTGACTGGAGGCAGCCGCTTATAAAGCGCTGGCGCATTCATGGCCCTAAATTATTCCATAGGATTAAAGGCGAGCTTTTGGTTAATGTGTGCACTTATGATCAGTTAAAGAAATAGTAAAACCTGAAGCTGTGGGCTAGCGGGGGGCAGACCTACTTTGTTAATCCACGTGGCCTATCTAAAAACACGTGATAGGTTGTAGAATATTATTTGCAGAGTAACAGGCCTTGCTGGAGATGACTCGCGAGCGGGCGCAGCGCAGCGCGCGCAATGAAAACAAAGCCCCCAGAACAAGGCGTCTCTTTCTGTTCCACGTCGCATTTCTCACACGATCGCCTGTTTTTGGGTCCCAGCAAGCCATCTTAACTTTCATCCCAAGCCCGTCTCAGGTTTAAAGCCTGTCTACTGTTATTATAGTAATTAAGTAAGCACATAATAGGCTGTTCCGCCGAGTTCAGGGGAGACCTTTTGGAGACGGAGTCCCCCCGTTTGTTCGCGGCGTTTCTCACACGACTTGGTGACACGTCCATCTTTCATGGGCTACGGCCGGGTTTTTGTTTACATTCTCTAGTTTCGTTAGGGGCCTCGGCAGGTGTGGGGACCCGGCCTGGCACACGAGCGGCCCCTCCGACCATGTTAGAGACTCCAGACGTCTTTGGCACACGAGGGTTACCCACCGCTGGATTCCCTTCAGAGGGGCTCAATTTGTATCCTATTATCCTATAAGAAAATGTCTATTGAGCGGAATGAATAGTTTCATTGGCCTAAATTTTAATAATGCAGTGCAAGAAAAGAAAAGGAGAAATAAAGAAGAATGCAGCTGGTCCTGACGCGCATTATTCTCCGTCACCTGCGCCTGGAGACCTCTATTCATTTGCCTAATTTCGGTCAACTTAACAAACTTTGGGAGAAATTATTCTGGTATTGTTGTGAAGGGTGAAGCTTTCTGATCGAATTAACAGCATGTTTTGATCCGGTAAATGCCATTAGAAAGAAAGAAACAATTGCGTATAGAGGGGTGTGGGTAACGCGCCAAGTGGCGACGCCAAAGCGCAATTCATGCCACTGGGGACTTTTGTACCCCCACATTGCTCAAGTTTGTGCCCAACAAAGGGCATTATTTTATACTTGAATACATTTCATACAATAATTGGCTGTTTTCATCAAACATATTTTCACAGCAAGGTTAACAACAGGTTTATTGTGTTCTCCCAGGCTCCCAGCCTCGGACTTCATGCGCCAAAACGCCTGGATCTTATGCTTTTTTTTCACTGGGAACGTTTTAATCCTGACGGTTGGCTATGCTTTAAAGTGCGAGATCGTGTTGCATCGTGGAGGGAAAAATCAAAGATGTGTGGATTTTTTTTTTCTTTTAAAGAATTCAAGCCCTTTGGATATCCAAAGCAACTGAGACTTTTTACACAGCGCGCAAAAGAAAAGCACCGGTGAAACAGACTAAAGCATAAAATCCCATTATTTATTGTTGAATTTACCACAAGATTTTATGCAAACGCTCTTTGGAGCCGACACAACAAACCTTTTTAACTTGCTTTCGGATTCTTAAGTTCTGTAATGTGACTATTTATGATCTGTTTTTTTTTTTGTAAACGTGTGTTGTGCATTGAAGAAGAACAATACGTCAACAGAATTTTCTCCTATCACAATGTAATTTAATTGTCCAACATTACACCAAACAAACCAATACAAAAAAGATTACTGTATTTTAACATCTTAAGAATGAGCTGATATTCCACATTCATGTTTCTTTGGAAGTAACATTTAAAGATCAAAAAGAATGCACAAGGCTGCACCAAAGCATCATTGTAGGCAACAAGTTCATCCCATATTTAATACTAATAATGATATACGTTATATAAAAAGATTATAACTACAATTGTGTTTCTCAAACGCCTGATTTTAAATGTTTTTACACATTCCTGATATATTTTCATACAAATATTACACTGCGTAAAATATTCACTTGCAAATTTTTTTTTTATCGTTATACAGATAATTGTCGATATGTATTATAAAATTATAAAATATATTATAACGTAAAATGTATATTTTGTACTTTATTAAGAGTAAAAACTACAAAATAACCAAACTCATATTTTTTTGGTGCGTACGTTACCTTTTAAACATTTTTATAAATGCTGATATTTATGACTGTCATGTTAGGCTGCAAAATAAAGCAATTTCAACGCCCTCTGCATGACAAGATGTTTTTTTTTTTCTGAATTACAAGACTTATTAATATTGTTTATTTTATTTTTTATTTTTTCATTTCCATACACAGGTAATTAATATTAGGCCTATAAAACGTTTGGAATTATAATACTAATAACAAATACTAATAAATTGAATAATGAATGGACAAAAATATTAGTATAATTTATAAAAATGTATGAGTCTGGGTAAAGGTGTTTGTATCCGATAAAAGTCATAAAATCTACTAATTGTCGTATCAATGTTTCATTGCTGTGCCATATAGCTGTTTAAAGCAGTCTAAACACGCTTCTGTATGGGGATCACAGTCTTCAAGAGGGGCTACCTGAAAGCTGAACTCTGTCTGTAAGGATCTATCCGTGTGAAAGAGAATTAGAGGAGCGCAGTCATGCATGTCACCCTGATTACAGCAGTACAGTTCGCCTTATTTCCCAACCAACCTAAGACTTTTTCACAGACACACTAACCAGTCTGGGCTTTTTCGGACAGGAGGGGATGCTTTCGCTTGTGTGAAGGGTTGCCACGACAGATCTTTTAAAGGATGGTTTAAAAAGTCCTGCTCATTGCCCTGTGCTACTGCCTTTACACTTTACATTTTTTTCAGTCTTTTTTTTTAACTTTAACTTTTGATAGATAAAACATCACTTTTTTCAAGTGTAATAATTACTTGTGGATTAAAATAAATAAATAGCCTAAATCAATATTGATCATTTAAATGATATTGTTTGCCTGTAATGATCATGACCTTCCCAGAACTTGATTAGAAAACTTATAGTTAACGCAAATGTTTGAAGATGCCTTTTGCCTGACTTAGATTGATAGGTTAATTACTACTAAACCCAAAGCGCCATCGTGTGGAGATTTCAACAAAACGACTTTGAAGCCATTGTCTTAAAAATAATTTGAAATTTGAATTCAGTTCATTAAAAATGTGTATTAATTTGTAACCTTTTTATTAGTATGATTGTTTGGGTCGGACAATAGTTTCAACATTATTACTTTTATTAGCTCTTTATTTTAGTTATCAGCTAAGCGGTTTTGTAGCTGCAATTGTATCTGCAAGTACCCTATAATACGCATACTATAACCTTTTGTCATTTAGTATGTTGCGCACATTTGTTAGATTTGAAATTCCTACGTTGATGGGAAAAAATGTTGATCCTCCAGACGATGTGTTGTCATGCGAGAGCCGGTGACCCGTGGTGACCCCAGGCCAGAAACGCACACAATCCTTTAGCTTCGCGCGCCACCGTGAGTCTCCTCTGCATCACTTCACACGAGACATTCAGCATTGTTCGTGCATCACAATAGAGCATCCTTAATATTCAGAAAATCGTCCGAAATCAAATATAAATCTATTGCTCGTGTCTCGTTTGTCCCCTCATAAATTTATCCTAAACATGTAATGGCGTCGTCTTGCTCACTAGAGGGAGACATAGCTATTGTCATATGTAGAAGTAAACTAAACTCTTGTTGAAAGAAAGAAAGAAAGAAAGAAAGAAAGAAAGAAAGAAATAGCACTTTTGATACACTTCTCAGATCTCAGTTTATATTTCGTATCTAAGCAGCCAGATAGTTTAACCTTGATCATTTATGTGGAAGAGTTTTTCATTTTTCATTGGGAGTGAAAAATGAAGTGCATAAATTGTAGGCTAATAAAGCTAATTACTAGGAATAAAGTTTATTAAAACACAAAAAGGTTGTTATATAGGTTATGTTCAACAGAGAAGGCTAATTATTGATCATGCAGCTAGACTAATGGTACTTATATAAACTTGTCTCATATTTCTATAACTCATATTTATTAGGATACTAATACATGGATACATGGTGTATAGAAAACAACAGAAGCTTCATCTTGCTTTATTAGTAAACGCAAACGTGCGTATGTCGTCTTAAAACTTACAGTGGTGTGAAAACGCTGTATATTTATTAGGATATTTCACCTCATGGTGTATAGAAGAAAAAAACTGAAGCTTCATCTTGCTTTATTAGTGAACGTCGCAGTTTATATTTATCAACGTCACAACAGTGCGTATGTAAATTTACCTAAAAAATAACCAATTAAACTCATTCTTTCACTTCGTACGCTTAAATATATGAAACGGGTGTTCTGATTGGTCGAGCGCCCGGTGTCCTATCTGAAGACAGCTCGGCGAGCCATACACGCCTCCAAATAACAGCTGTGTGGACGCAGGCTACAGTAACACCATTCAGGTTTGTGCAATTCTACCTTAATCTTGGCTGGATTCATGTTATTATTTCAGTGGATGGAAATGAATAACGCTTGAAAACATCCAAACCGTGCACATTACATAAATATATCACGGAGAAAAGCGTTCAAATGCAAATTGTGCGTCGCTACATCTACTCAGCCTCACATGCATGCTCAGTTTAACACATAAATGCAGCGATGATGCCACGTTTGGGGGTGTTTTTATGCAGGGAATTCTTTTTGAAGCAGAGTAGTAGTGGTGGGAAGAATTAGGCTAAATCAGATTAATTTGGTTCAGTCTGTTCTTTTGAACAGCTCGTTTCAGCCATAGACTGTAATGGTTTCAACCAGTTTCAACGCAAAATTACTTCTGACATGCAATTGTTGCATAATAAATACTACGCCTACTTTAAATAATATGTAATAATAAATAGTATTAAATGCTGATCTGCACTGTATGTGTCTCGTACAGTTCCAGTGCGCTGTATCTGTGTAATTTCTAATATTACAGCTATTAAAAGTAACTTCCCCATCAGTCAAAATCCTCGGTTCACTCCAAATGATTATACCATCAGCTCAGTCATAGGTCGAATCGATTTTTTATGTAGTAAATGAATTGATATTAGCTTACGAACCGCTTGGACCAATTCCGTCCAAATCGTGATCGAATCGCGCAGATTGATTGATTTTGTAAACGGGTTCAACCGATTAATTGAAAAGATTCTACTCAAAAGAAGAAATCAATCACGAATTGGACAGCGCAAAGCATGAGTGAGCGCAGGAAAGAGCGCTTCCACATCTTGTGTATTTAGCAGAAAAAAAATAGAGAATGTTAAAACATTTTCCCACAATATATAGCTAGGTATAAGTGTTAACTCAACATGCATTTCCTTGGCACTCTTCTATCAGAGATGGCTGAAGTTCAGCGGAGGATCGTGTGAAGACAAAGAGAGGGGCGGAGATGGAGCGTGTTTGGAGACGCCTGTCGGTGCTTTGCGCGCTCTATTGTTAGTTAATTAGTATGAAGGTAGAATGACGTCAAAAAGATTTGCATACGCAGGGTAAGAGTTGTGGAAGTGTACATAAGACTGTAAGCGTAAATTAAATTTGCATGCGCAAGAGAAGCTGTGTAAAGGTGTAAAGCGTATGCAAATCTTTTTGACGTCATTCTACCTTCATAATTAGCTAATACAAAACGGAATCGGACATGGAAACAATGCAGCTCTTGTCCACGGCATGTTGTCGCATCACTTCTTGTCGTGTAACCTCCCATTTGCTTTTCCATATCACATATCACACTGTCTGGCCATCATCACAAATTATAGGCGGCATCATGAACTAACAATTTAACCTGCAATGCCTGAAATGCAATTTATTTGATGCAACAAGAAAAGAAAAAAGAAAACTTGGTATATTAAAGGTTCAAAGAGAACATCAAAATAGAACATGGTTATGCAAGAGGTTTGCAGACGAGAAGACCTCTTAACACAGTTAATTTGGCCTCATTTTGTTGATGCAGTGGCTGAAAGATGGACTTATTTTTGGATCATAATCACATCAGGGGAATTATATTTATGTAATTTATTAAAATTTACTTAAAACTAATTCACACTTTTCCTCTATTTTAAAAAGCAGAAGAGATAATGTAAGAATTAGTGTCAAATGGGCAACGTTTTGCATGAAACATTAGAAAGATATTTTTTCAATATATTTTTTTGTGGTAGGCTAAGAAACGGTTCTCACAGCTTGTCTGCTCTATGACTATGAGACGACTATCATTCTCATCAAATCAGTTAAGTGCATGATTTATGTGTGTGTGTGAAACTGAAAGTGATAGTGTGTGAATATGTTGTGGTTTTAAACTGTAGAGTTGTGGTATATGAGCAGCAGACACGCTCAGGAATGTTTGGAATTTTGGCGGTCTAGCAGTCTGAGGTTATGCTGTTTTCATTTCCTTCTGTTTTTCTCATATGCATGCAGACAGTTTGTTCTGCAACTTCGGGTTTTGTGGTCACGCTTTCAAGGTTGAGGTTACATAGAAATGTTTACTTCTTGTTCTTTGTATTGATAGTTTGCATATTCTATAGACCATTTTGCCAGAATCTGTTATAATTTTTGCTGCTAGTATTAGGCTGATGATACAAAGGGCAACTTATTGAGCAATGGTGCCTTCAGTGGGCAACCAGGTGAGACACAGGGCCCACGACCGATCTAAATTATCCAGATTGAAATTTGTTAGCCATTCTCAATGGGAAAGTGCCCAAGCAACATTGCTCAAAAAAAGTTGCCCAGCAAAATTGCTAAAAAAATTGCCCCGTCTATCATCAGCCTTAAAGTAAAAGGGAAGCCATCCACTGAGGATAGTTGCCCCACTCCAGAATAACACCTGTTGCTGTAGTTACCAATCAAAATGTGTTCTCATCTGTTATTTAATATATTTAACAGGTTTACAGATAAAAGCGCCAGTCTCGAATTTCAGATCTTCCATTTCTATTGTAAGTCTTTCTTCTCACAAAAGCCAAAACTGCCCTCTGGGCTTCTATAGAAAATGGTTTGTATTATGTGCTGCTCCACTTTTAAACTTGTTATAGAAAGCTTTAGGTGTGGTTCAGCTAGAAAGAGTTCAAACATGACCAAGCCCATTTCTGGACTGCCTTTATTTCTAGCTTCTGAAAGACTAACTTCCGTGAAATCATGAGATTCATATGAGAAGTCTGAAAACGTGCAGAATGAGATCATAGAAAAACACAAATACGGTGTATAGTTGTGAACACACTCACTCTGAGTGAGTGTCATTAAGATTGTTTGGTAATTGGTGAAATAAGCTTGATGTAAGATGGTAGTAAATGGGTTGTAAATGCTGTTGAATGCATAACAACTTTAAGGAATAGGAGTGGGTGCCATCAGAATGTGAGTCCAAACAGCTGATAAAAACCAAACAATATTCCACAAGTAATCCAAACGACTCCAGTCCACCAATTAAAAGCTGCGAAAAGCTGCATGTTTGTAACAAAATCCATCATTAAGACATTTTTAACTTCATACCATTCCTATATCCATAATATTACTTTTTCTAGTTGAAAAAGTTGTCTCATCTGAATTAGGAGAGAAATATTTACAGATCAAGCACCGTTTACAGTCCAAAACAGTTCTGAACAATTATGTCATGTATGTGAGAGGACAACAAAGGATTGACTTTTTCACTGGAGGAAGTGATATTATGAATTATGGATTTATGCTCTGGCCAGAAGTGAAAGTGCACCCATTCACTGTAGACGATCCATTTGTGAGCAAGTGATGTAATGCAAAATTTCTCTAAATCTGTCCTGATGAAGAAACAAACTAATCTACACCTTGGATGGCCTGAGGGTGGATACATTTTCATAAAAATTTATTTTCTTTTTTTTTTGTCATGACTAAACTATTCCTTTAAAGAGTAATAGTACTAGTTCATTAATGTGGTAATTTTCTCTCTTACAGAATGTGACATTGTTCTTCTCCTTGTCCTTGTGCTTCTTGTCTATTAATGTACATGTTGATGATCTTGTGGCTAGGTCGCTGTCAGTCATTTGCCTTTGTCTCTCTTTAATAGCTTCCTTCTATAACACCCAAACAAATCAGTCTCTGTTCTCGACTGAACTGGGTCAATGGCTCAGACATTATGTCATATATTTATTGTTTAATTTATCCATCAAAGCTATTAATATATTGTATACATATTTAGTCAAACTAATGGACAAATAAAATGATAGTGCTCCTTAATTACATTTTGGCGGTTGCTTTTAAAATGATCAGTGCTGTGATTATTACTGCCATGGAACTGCATGTCTCTCATACAATCCAGCCTCTTGGATTGCATTGCTCTTCTCTGATTATCAATACATAGACTGACAAAAACATCTATCTAGATCAGTGTGCTTTTGCTCTCTTTCCTTCAGGGAGCGCAGGAATAGTTCAACAGCTGCTATGATGCCCCGACAGACTGGAGAACAGGAAATATATTTGACAAATATATATATATTTATTTTTTTAACTACAATCCTTAGTCCAAAAAAATAATCTCTAAATCTGAATGGTCCGCTGATGGAGTTCTGCAGTTATGAGGGTTATGCAGATGTCAGTGTTATGAGATACAATTCCTGGAATTACACTACATATTACAGTGGGATACTAAGGGCCAAATGTCCAGTTTGACTTCTCAGAAATGTAAAAAAACAGAGGTGCTGTAATGCAGAAAAAAGAACCAATTAAAAGGTTTGACAGACATGCATGTCATTGCATTGTTGATGCGTTTCCAATTAAGATGGAAATGGGATGATATTTTTATAAAACTGCAAATAGCTTTTATATGTCACAGTCTGATAAAATCATATATATATATATATATATATATATATATATATATACACACAGGTACATTATTAGATTCTCTATGGGGTTCAGGTCAGGCGAGTTTGCTGTCCAATCAAGCACAGTAACACCATGGTAATTGAACCAGCTTTTGGTAACTTTGGCAGTGTGGGCAGGTGCCAAGTTCTGCTGGAAAATGAAATCAGCATCTCCATAAAGCTTGTCAGCAGAAGGAAGCATGAAGTGCTCTAAAATTTCCTTTTGGCTATTGCTACAAATATACCCCAGCGACTTAAGACTGGTTTTGTGGTCCAGGATCACATATATTGGCTCATTCCAGAGAGAATGCTATTGTACATAATTTTCATCAATATTTAGCTCAATTTTGCAGGTAGAGAATATTTCTTAGGTCATTTCTTTAAACCTTTAAGAGTTACACTAAATTACCTTTACTGGACTAAAACCACAAACCTCCTTTTTGACATTGCTTTCCTGTTTTTGTGTCTGTTTCATCTTGACTTTTTAGGGCATTTGCGCATGTTTTATTGGTTAAGTAAGCTTGGTGTTAATTCCATAATGTGTATAAATGTTATTAAAGTTTTGATTAGGAGGTCACCAAGCTGACAATACCAGTACCACTGGGCGTATTGAA